CCATTCAACAAATCCCTGGCTGCAGTTTCTGCCTCTTGTATCAAAGTGAACACTCACAGTTGGGCAGGTTGTGCACTGCACTAAGCCAGCCCATCTGACGGGGCATCGTTCACATCACAGATGTTGTAGATTTGTCTACTGCATTTACTTTGACAATTTTCAGCGGATGGCAGTAAAGTGTCTTGAGGAAAGGGAGCCTTTTTCTAATTTAAATAAAGGCACCAAAAGGGCTAGTGGAGAGGCCAAATGCCTTCCTGGGTGGAAAGGTGAGTCCCCAAGGCGGATCTTTGGCAGAATAACATAGTCGGGAGTTCATGCTCTGGAGCCAGACAGGCCGGGGTTGCATCTCTACTCTTTCATTTAGACTGGCTACCTGGCCTGGACAAATTATTCTAAGTTCTCTGAGACTTGGTTGCTCATATGTAAAATGGCAGTAATAACAACAAAATGTTGTTGAGGGGGTCAGGGGGACAAGCCACTTAATCAGTGATTGGCACTTAGTAGGTGCTCAAGAAACCTCTGAGACGACAGCATGAAGGAGAGGAAATCAACAGGGACAATTTTGTCTCCAAGGGGACATCTTGCAATGTCTGGAGGTATTTTGATTGTCACAACCTGGAGGCTCCTGGCATCTAGGAAACAAAAGGCATGGATGCTGCTAAGTGCCCTGCAACAAACAGGGCAGCTCTCCCAACACAACCAAGAATTATCTGACCCACAATGTCAGGAGTGCCAAGGTGGAGAAACCCTGTTCTATAGGAACAGGCCCCCGATTTTTAGCTGGTCATAGGGCTGCCTAGAATAAAGACCGGAGAGAACTCTGTGTGGCCAGGCGACTAAGTTCTGGCCAGTGAGACACGAGCAACTTCTGTATCGTGCCCTTAAATGAGGTACATGCTCCTTTCCTCTCTTCCCCCTTCCCGATGTCTGGGATGTGGACATGGCGGGGTGCCATCTGGGAACATACAGATGGGGACAGCACCCTGGGAATGGCAGAGCAACAAGACAGGAGAAGTCTGCACCCCTGATGACGTCACAGAATGCGCTGCCCACTGGCTGGGACTTTCACATGGGAGAGAAATACGCTTTCGTCTTGTTAGAGCCGTTATTATTTTGAGTCTTGTTTTCAGCAGTCTAACAAACACAATGCGATGCTCTCTCCCTCTTTCTCCTGCAACCAGAGAACTTCTGGTCTCTTACAAACACCCTCTGGAAAGGCTTTGATTTGGCAGCAGACCCTGAAGGACAGGAAAGCACTTTCTAACTGCAATGTCATTACAACCCCCAAGGCATTTACTTTATGTGTATTTGCCCACGAGTCATTTCCATCCGAGCATGTTAGTTCATCAAATTTCCAGACTTTGACTCAGCTCCATTAGTCTTTGCTTACAGGGCCTTGAGTGATCTCTTCATGCACAAAAACAACTTCCTGAATACAGAACAGGTGCACACTTCTGGAATGTTAATCCGTTATCCTGGGGAGAGCAGAAGGAAGGACTAGGTGCCTTCCTCCCTGACGGGTTTGCAGCCCTAGCTGAGCACGCACACTTTGTTCTCCCTTCAAGCAGCGATAGGAGGCCGTGGTTGATCACCTACATGTCGTTATGATTTCCACTGAGTCATCCACATTGTTTCTTGCAGTCCAGGGGACACATGGCATATGTTCGGGACACAGCTGAGCAGTTTCAAAAGTGCAGTGGCAGAAACACTGGCCTGAATATTAAGATATCTGGTTTCTTACTCCCCGACCTGCCTTTGACTAGCTGTGTGATTCTTTTTGTTTGCAAGTGACACCATTTAAACCGGCTTTAGCAACAGAGAAGAGAATTTACTGGCTCCTGTAACACACAACGTCCAAAATCGAGGTATGGCTGGACTAACGACACTCAATGCTTCTATAAACTTCGTGCTTTAATGTGTGCCCGGCCGTGCATGTGCCGGACACTCCTTATCCTAGACAGCCCCGTAATGAGCCTGCCTCACCTTGCCTTGGCAGGGGCGCTAGTCTTGGGGCCATTTCAGAATTCCATCTACCACCACGTATTGAGCATTTACTGTGTACCAGGCACTCTACTGAGTGCTTTATATGTACTCACTTGATCTGCTGCTGCCGTCCCCCTTGCATGGATGAGCAAGCCAAGGTAGCAAGAGGTTAAATGACTGTGGTTGCACAGCTGGCGAGTGGCGGATCTGGGGGTTAGACCCCTCCGTCTGCCTCTCCCCGTTTCTCTCTCTCCCTCCGTGTGTACACCTCTCTCTCTCGTATGTGTGTCTCTGTGTGTGTTCCTGTATGCGTGTCCCTTCATGTTGTGTCTCTGCGTGGACGTGCATGTCTACGCGTGTGTCCAGAGGTCTGTCTCTTTCTCTTTCACCCTCTCTGTCTCTTTTTCTTACACGCACACAACACCCTCCCGCTCCTGTCTGACAATTCTTTCCTCCTCTGAACTTTTGGTGAGTGTTTGCTTTTACAGTAGCTTTAAGGAGTTTGCGGGATGGGGATGTTTGAGGAAAGAAAAGGAAAAGGACCTTATAAAAGCCCAGTCTTATTAAATGCTCGTGTTTACTGAGTGTGCATGATGTTCCAGGGGCCGGGCTATACTCAGCACGTTATATGCATCATGTCACTCATAGCAATCTCAAACCCCAGCTGCTATTGTTATAACTATTTCACTGATGAGGAGATGGAAGCTCAGAGAGGTTAAGCTACTTACCCAAGGTCACACAGTAAGAGACCAGGACGAGATGCCCACTTACATTAGTCTAACCAACCACTGGCTTTCCCCTGTACCCCACTGGCCCTCCTCAGGGCCCTCTGGCCTGTCTGCCATCATGGTAAGCAGCAGAGGCAGCTACACAAATCCTCAGCTCACCTAGAAGGGGAACTAGAAGCAAACAGAAGGCCCTCACCTGCCCTGCCTCCCAGCCCTCCCCCCTCGGCTCCCTCCACCTGCTTGGCATTCACGACAACATCAATCTCGTTCAAACCCCAGAGCCCACGAGCCCCGCTGGGGTGGCTGCTTCTGAGTCACCGCACACCAGCAGACGGTGCTAAACTAATTTCCCAGCATCTTTGGGAAGGATTCGGTTTCTGTCTCCCCAGCTGAAAGCCACGCAGACAGTGGCAGCGGACTGGCAGGACCCAGGGGCTCCCTGCCTGGTCTGGGAGAGCCCAGACCGAGATGCGGTAAGATACTGATCAGCAAAGTGGCTGGGGCTTGGACAAGGTCCAGGCTGCAGCCTGAACTGGATTAAGGGATGGAACAGCAGGTGCCAAACCACAAGGATGGTGCTAAAACATCCCTGGAAATGAAACCAGATAGAGAAAATTGTCATTATTTTTTACTAAGACTTATGGGGCTCTTACACCACATATGAAGATGATTTAATCTTTGTTAACAATGCTATGAGGTAGGTACTATTTATTATTGCTGTTTTACAGATGAGAAAACTAAAGCACAGCGCTCCCGTAACTTGCTCAAGGTCACAACCCGCTCGGTGATGAGGCCTGGTTCTTAACCCAGACTCAACAGGCTCGACAGGACACTGCATCATTAGCCTGTCTAGGTGCCGCACTGCTTGTTTAGATCCTGCTGAGCTCTCAGGATTGGTCTAGAGAGGAGATTTTATATACATGCGTGTGTGTGTGTGTGTGTGTGTGTGTGTATCTCCCGTCTTGGTTCAAGGCTGTATAGTCTTTTAGACTCGTTAGTTAAACCTGGAGTCCTCATCTGTAAAGTCGGGGTACTAATAATAGTCACATTTAAATTAGTTAAAATATATAAAAGTTTAATGTTATTTAGAGCCCTTTAAGAGGAAGGCTGCCATCCACTTCCGCTTGACTTTAGCAGATGGACACTAAGATTCTGCCAAACAAACTCCTTTTCACCAAATCCTGTAACGACAAAGCAAGTAGTAATAGAGTGGGTACTGTGATTGTTCCCTCATCATCCACTT